TATTTTTCTTTTCTCTCTTGTAGCTCTACTCTTTTTTCCTCACTACTAGTCACCTCACTATTTTCTCTCTTGCTCTTTATCTCTCTCAATCTTTTCTCTTCTTAATTTTTCAATCTGATTTGATCTTCATACACTTGTGTCGGTATTAATGGAGTCAAGGTAATAGATTTTTCATTCTTCGTAAAGTTATACCTATTTTTGTACCCATCATGTATCACTTTCCTATCATATTGCCATGACCTTCCCATCATGATAGCTACCAATAGAAAAATTCACCAACACTCTCTTATTCACCTTAACCTATCTACATTTGTTCAACTATTGAAGCCTATTAGATTTAGGATGTTTTAACTCCAATTTTTCAACGAGTGTAGTTCTAGTCACATTAGTATAACTACTCCCATCAATAATCATGCTACATACCTTTTTGTTGATGTGGCATCGCGTATTAAATATGTTCTCCCTTTGTTGCTTTAAGTCATTCATCTTGATTTGAGCACTAAGAACTCGCTTCGTAACCAATAGCGCACCCATAGCATACTCCACCTTTTCACCATCACTAGCCTCTTCCAATTTCGACATGTCATCATAGTCACTCCCAATATCACTCACCACTTCTCCATTATCTCGCAAAATTATAACCCGTTTGTTTGGACATGGAGAAGCAATGTGCCTATTCAAACCATTCAAAAATCGAACCATAGTGGCCTCCCTATTCTCCTCAACATTCGCTCTAATCATCATCATCTTCATCTCCTTATGTTAGTCTTCTAAACTCCTAGACCCTTGGTAGAGGCTTTACAATTTTTGATGAAGCTCTCTATAGTAATGACTAAGCACGAAACTCTTCCTCATGAAAGCCTTCAATTATTCCCTAAGTACTAATAAGCTTCTTACAATTTTTTCTCCTAGATGTCACTACTTGATCCCACCAAGTAATAGCATAATCGGTGAATGAAGGAAATGTCATTTTGGTGTTGCCCATACTTCTTCTCCTCCGAGTAGTTGTGGCAATCAAATATCAATTCTACTTTTTCTTACTCCAAGTATGCTTTTGGATCACTCATTCCTTTGAATGAAGGAACTGTCATTTTGATGTTGCCCATACTTCTGCCAACTCCATCTCTTGCAAGACTCATTTCATGCATAACGCCTCTATCCCTCATTCTTCCTAACTCTGCATCCACTAATGCACCCTCATCAATGTCACTACCCTCTTCATAATCATCATGATTCTCTACCTTAGGTTCCCACCGACCTTGCCTCCTTGCGTTGGGCACTCCTCTAGGTTATTCTCCACATAAATTAGCAAGCAATGGGTCTTACCTCTCCATTCATGTCTCTTGCCTATCCAACTTATTTCTCATATCTTCAAACAATTGCTAGAACCGTCGTATTAACTCTTCCGACATGTTGACTTGATTTTCGTTCCTAATTGAGGTAGAGTTATCTCTGTCAGACATCCTAAATTTAAAACAGCATTTGCTTCAAGTGTATATACTTGCGTATCACTCAAATTGACTTTTTCCCTCTAATAGTCTCCCCACTCTTGCCTTTTTTCACTCAACGCATTCGCCCAAGTACTTCAAAGAACTTTTTCGATCTTAACCAAATTTTATTCTCAAAAAATTCAAACTAGGATGTGAGTAAGAATTGTAATGTAGAAAACTCATAAGCAAAAAGAATTGGACATCGTTGAATGGGAACTATGCTAATATATATATATATATATATATATATATATATATATATATATATATAAATTGAATGCTATTGGTAATTTTCGGATTTTTCTTTCAAAAATTTTTACGCGAAAATTCGACTACAATAGCAGCGAAAAGATAAAAATTGATTTGGATGATAAATTAGCACAAAAATAACTTTTGAATTTTTTTGGGACTTTTTATAAATTGAAGACCCGAAAGACGAAGAATGCAAAGAACATGAAAAAAAAAGGAAAATAAATGACTCAAACAAAAAATAATAATAATGATGATATAATCTTGATTTTTGGAGTCTAAGCTCTAAATCAACTGATTTGAACTCCCGTAGCAATTGTAGCTTGAAATCCATACGAGATTGGTTCAAACCCAAGAATATCAAGAAATCAAAGTTTTGAGTTTGACCCAAAAATATTGAACCAAGAAATCAACAGAATCGTCAACAATATGTTGATCCTTTGATCACAAGACTTAAGAATCTCACCCAGATTGTTTGAATGCTACAAGAAAAAAATCTTGATAAGTTTGAGATTAGTTCAATGAAGAACAAATGATTGAAAACAAATATGCCTCTCGAATTATACTTTCAAAAGTAATTAACTGTTTCCAATGTAAAGATGAGTTCTATTTATAAGGAACTCATACAACCCTGGTAAAAATGAAATAGAATCCTAAAGATTACAAAAGATACCAAAAAGTAGTGTTTCAACAAAATTAGGAAAAATAGTGTCGCAAAAACACGCTATGCGGTCGCATAGTATTTCTACATGCGATCGCATAGACCAAGTGGAGTCCTCAAACTGATTTTCTGTAAATGGCTATACGGTCGCATAGCTGCTTTGCTCTCCCACTTTGTCCGTTGCTTGAATCACGTTTCCTTTCATCTTCTTTGACCCTCTTTGATCGGACCTAGTTATCGACCCTTCTTCAATGATCAACGGATCTTTGCCCGAACTTGTATTCGTTGCCTTCGTCCCATAGATTACATCACTTTGGGTGAGTAGGCCCCCCTCTATCCTTCTTGATCAATAGTGAAGGGCAAACCTGAAAAGTACCTTTTTTTAGTCTTCATAAACAAAATCTCTTCCACTCAATATATTGACTACTATAACATCATTAGCTCATTTACCTCTCTAAATAAAGTAACAAGTAAACGTGTGGCTGAAGATGCTGCCTTTTCATGTGATTTTTTTTTTTCTTTTTGGGAAAAAATGTATGTATAGAGGGGGGACTACCGACCGTGTCCCCCCTCTCACATGACACGTGGGCCCCTCATGTATTAAATATGCCGGGTCATGGCCCGCACCTCTTATTGTGAGTAGTAGGTAAAAGATTAAGTAAAAAAATTTGGTACATGTAGCACGGTCCTTTTTTTTTATACAAACAAGATCTTGCAGCAAATCTTCACTCATCAATTGGGAAAGGATATACTAGGGGTGAGATTAAGTCAGTCAAGCAAAAAGAAACATATGTGTACGGTTTCAAAAATAAACTTTATTGATTTGTGTGTAAAATATTTTATTTTTTGAATGTGTGATGAAAAATATTATTGTAACAAATAATTTAATTTGTTAAAGAATGACCGTAATAAGAAAGATTGTTTTGGGGCCTATTTTATTAATTTATCTTTGGAAAATTTATACAAATGGTTGATAATTTTTTTTTAAGTGACAAATTGGTTCTTAACTTTTAAAAACAATAAATTTAGTTCTCATTTTGTTGTTTTAAAGTAAATTCGTGGCAAGGTTCAAACCGCATCATCCCATGGGTTGGTTATTCAGGCTTGGCTCATTAGTCAGTGGTTCAATTTGGGCATGACTCGATCTATAGGTCCTATCTATGACAAGTCGTCCCACGAGCTTTTTCGATTTCATTTACATAGATTTTGAAGAAAAAAAATAGTAATCAAAACTATGCCCCCAGTTTAGTAGGGATTAAAATTAACATTTTGATAAAAGTTAATAAAACGTGAGTTGAAAAGTTGTAGAATATATGGTGAATATTAATTATAAATATTGACTTTAATTTAAATTAAAATTCTAAATTTTATATGAGAAGATAATTCATGTTCTTGTGATTTCCGAAACGCAGTTTTGAAATACATCATACATTATTCCTTCATCGTTGTCGACCTTTTCCCTTACAATTTCCCATAGAAACCAGTTTCAAATCCATCTCTCTACAAATCTCAGTTTTCTCTCTACATAATAAACATATCGTTACTGAATTGTTGAAGTAAAGCGTAATTAGGATAATAGTGAAAATGGTGCACAAAACTAAAAAGAAAGAGACGGAGTTCAAGGTTTCAGTCCGCTACCAACGCTTTTTCAATGGTTGCCACATCGGGAAATGGAGCCTAGCAAAAGACTTCTTTTATTTGGCGAAAAATTTTACGGTTCTAGCTTTGTTTTCAGGTTTTCTCTAGTTAGGGATGTAGAGGAGACAAGTGACGATCCGTAGAAATCGGATTTAACAGATGACATGGTGGTGAAGAGGCAGGTAAATCTGTGCTTCGATTGCAGAAAGAAGGTAGGATTGACTGGATTCTGATGCTGTTGTAGAAGAGGGAAAAATAATGGCAACTATTTTCCAAAAGTTCTTTCTTAAAAAAAAAGAAGTTGAACCAACCTTGAGGGCCTTTATCATCCTGCCCCTAGAAATTTGTGAGGGAGGTAAATCGCGGGATGTATCACAATATGTCAAGGAACAAGAGCTGTTTGTACATTGCGCCTACAAGGAGTCCAATTCCATGTCTCAGGAATCGAACCCCAACACTGCGGCTGCCAGCAAGACGTGAAATTTGACACATTTTTAACGACGCATAAGTTGCAATGTAAAATTTTCGCCCATTATATTAGCAAAAATTGTAATGAACTTTTGAGGATGATGGCTAGAGTGCAAAAGTAGAAAGCTCAATGAGCAATGTGAAGCGTATTAAATTTAATTAGTAGTCCGTGACCATGGTATAAGTTGAGTGATTTTTGAAACAATTAACTCCAAAAAACAAGTCATAATTTATACCTGAATTTTGAAATTGAAACACTAAATACAAGATTTTCGGTAATTTTCTCTAATTTTAACATTTCATGGGCACACAACTTTTCAATCACACATTTCATCAATTCTCATAAAAATTTTGATTTTAATCCTACCAAAAAGGGCAAATATCAAATATTCCCATCCAATAATCTAGACGATACCGATAGAACATAAGACTTAACAAACATTTCTTCTTATAACATGCATCTAAAATTGAAAATAGAATTTTCACATTGCCCATAATATTCAAAATTTGCAATATTTTTCACCATTGATTTTTTTCCGAATTGTAACATTTTCCTCCAAAAAGTTATTACAAGAACAAAATTTATATGTATTCCCATCTATATTGCAAAGAAAAGGAGATACTGCATAACTAAATAAAATAAAACACTTGCTAAATAAATAACATGTCATTTCCATGCTTTCCTTCCGCGGAATTGCTTGCCAGAACGTTGCTGTTTTTTCTTCTTCTCTACCCGGACTTTTGCAATCTTGAATCTCCTTGCAGCAAGGGGCATAGCTTTTTTGTGTTCCTTTTGCTGGTTGCTTGTACCACCCGTCTGTCAAATATTGAAACATAAAATAAAGAAAAAGAAGCAATAATCCTGTTCAACACTCTGCCTAAAGCTTCAAACCCCCCTTGTGAGTTGCATTCGAATTCAAAACAAACATTTGTGATATGATATATGCCCAAGTTGAGAACCAAATGATAATATACAACACTAGACTCCTACATTGGACGTTACCTCTAAATGAAAAGGAAAAAAAAAATCCATACCTTTTTCCGTTTTATAGAAGTACGAGATTGATATTTCCCTCTCTCCTCCCTCCCGGCTCTTACCAATGCCAATTTTTCATCTTTGGTTAACTTCTTCCGTATGTTAGCCTGAGAAGAACAAGCAATCGCATCACACGAGTTTCTTCAATAGGACATGTGAGGTCTTTTGAGAATAACGAAGGAAACGAAATTCTCATAGCCCAGTTGGTGATTCCAAACTACACCATTGTTAATTGCTTCCTTTCTCCAAAAATGACGGGTGAAATAGAATTTCGGTTTTACTGCACTACAAGAACAAAGATGACAATGAAGAAACTTTGAATAGAACTCACCTCAAGTTTGGCAGCATCAATTCTCTTGGTACCAAGTTGGTCTGAGCTTGGAATCTTAAATCCATGCTGGACCACGGCAATTTTGGCCTCCTCCTTAGTCTAATAATCAAAGAAAAAGAGAAAATTACAACAATATAATAATAATTTCAACTCAACTAAGGTTCCATACTTAATTAGGGTATACAATCAAACATAAAATATAAGGAGACAAAAATATATGACTGTATTCTTAACATAATATGGAAGTATCTGCAATCAGATTCAACTACAAATACAAGACTGATCAGCACTATAGAAGCAACATACCTTAAGCTCTTTTATTCTTTGGAAGTCCTCGTTGGAAAGAATACCATCACTAGTGTTCTCAGCAGCATCCTCCACCTTTTCTCCAGCTAATTTCTTTAAAGCACGAAGACTCTTGCTGGCAGCATTCAATTGTCCGTCAAAATCAGAAAACTTCCTCTTCTGTGCTTTAGATTTCTTGTTCTTTGCAGTTCCATCATCAGATTCCAGTAAAGATGTAGGGTCCTCCTGTAGCTCCTCGTCGTCATGTTCATCACTCTTGTATTTGTCACTAATGTCATCTGCATGATCAGCAGTTTTATCATCATTATCACTATCAGACACTTCATCATCCTCTTGTACATCATATTCACCACTGTCACCATCAGTAACAGAGTCATCATCACTGGACCCACCATATTCACACTGAGAATCACCTTCTTCAATAGGCCCAACATCAACATTTTCATTATCATCATTGGACAAGCCACTGTATCCCCCATCCTCATCAATGTCATCACCACTGCCATCATCATCTTGTTTCAACAACTCGACCCCAGGGACATTACTAGCAACCTGCACCTCTCCAAATGCTTTAGGTCTGGCTTTTGGGTGAGTAGGCCTCCCTCTATCCTTCTTGATCAATAGTGAAGGGCAAACCTGCAAAATACCCTTTTTAGTCTTCATGAACAAAATATCTTCCGGTCAATATACTGACTACGATAACATCATTAGCTCATTTACCTCTCTGAATAAAGTAACAAGTGAACGTGCAGCTGAAGATACTGCCTTCTCGTGTGATTTTTTAGACAAAACGAGATCTTGAAGCAAATCTTCAATCATCAACTGGGAACGGATAAGGGGAAAACACTAGAAGTCAGATTACATCAGTCAAAAAAAAAAAAGGAAGAGTACATATGCGTATGGATTCAATGAAATGGGCATACCAAAGGCATGCGTAGACATATTTCCCGCACTACATTCAGTCCAACAGAGATTGCCTGGGAAAAACAATGGGACAAATAAAGTCCAATCAACATGGAAAAACTTATTTCTCAAGAAAAACAAGGTACTACCTCTGTACGTGACCGATCGTGCACAAATTGATTGACTATTTGCTTAAATAATGGTTCTACTGCATCAGGTGGTACCTAGTACAGAAAAAATTATGACTGAGCAGGTATCTCTCTATTGACAACAGATGAGACAGTCAACATTTCAATGAATGGGAATACGATTCAACCAAACGGAAAATACCATGTCATGGCAGGCCTGCACAGCTGCTGCAAGTAAACTTGTGACATCACGTTGATGAGGCTGAAAGAAATATAACCAGACTTCAAGTAACAATCAAAATCAATTGTCTCCACAACTCTTTGTGATTAATAAATTACACACCTGAATGTATTTTTGAAGGTAAGGATAGAAGTTTAACAAAATCAAGCGGTGAAGTCCAACAGTTCGGGAAATTACTTTTAACATCATCATCTTAACCTGCAAGGAAAAATACAAAGAAAATAACAAAATTCCCCATTCCAAAACAAAGGACGAAATATCAAAGTGATGAAAAATTGAATACAAACTACCTCAAACTTTTCATTGCAAGTTGGAAGGCGTGAGAACAGCTTTTCAGCAAAGCCCTGCAGGAAGAATACGAGTCAAATGCTTTCTACCATTTTCAACAGAACACATCACAGCAAACACTGACAATAATCAAACTAACCTGTGCATCTTTCAAATGGTTTAATGGTGAAAAGTAATTGGAATTATTACTATTCTTAGAAGAGAGCCGCTGCTGCTTCTTCATGCTACGAATGACACGTTGCAATTTCGCTTTCTTTTTCTTTTTGCTCGATGTTGTGCCTTTATGCTTTGCCTAGATATTCAAAAATTTATAAACAATTATGAGTTATCTGCCATTCATTTTAAACACAACAACATGATAAATGATTTTTTCCTTTATTCTCCCCAGAATGCAAATAAAGCAGAAAAGAAACATCTTCTAGACACGGATTTTTCCTACAATCCACTTGTCAACATGATAAGGAAGGTCTCTCACAGATGAACAGCATGCTAAACTTATCCATTCTTAAAAAAACAAGGTGCACACAGAAGAAATTAATCAATATGGCTATGAGGGTTCTGCTAGCTAATAAATGAGATGCTAAAATTATTAATGAATTTTCAAACACCAAGGCCAATTTTTGGGTCACGCGTTGGTTGAGTACCAACCTTGTAAATAGACTCTTTATTGACTACTATCTGAGTCTGTTGTGTTTCAAGGTCATCTTCACTGCCTGAATCATCAGCGTCATCATCATTTTCAATCTTCTCAGAATCAAGAAGAAATGATAGAGCGGCTATCATGATCCTGAAGAATTCAAATATTTTTAGAGCTTATCAAGTGTGAACATGCAATGTAAAACCAAAAAACAAGAGTAGGACAACCAAATATGCAATTTTGGTACTCCCTTTGATGACACGTGAAAACATGCCACACATATGGCATTTGCTGTCCGATCATCAAGCCAGACCTTCCTCCGATGAAAATCGCATAGGGTAATAAGAGCTCTTTTCGCTATTGCCTCATCTTCTCGCTATCATGAAACAAGAACTCAGACAATAATTATTAAATCATTATAAATCAACTAAAATGAGAAAAAAATGGTTTACCTAGTAAACTTACATACCTGCAACATGCTGAACAAAATATTTTGAAGTGCCCGATTCTTGGGATCATTCTTATGCTTCTGATTCATCCGCCTAATACCATGTATTACATTCGAGAATGCTAGCTGCCTCAACACCCTATCCCCCAAACTTTGGAGCTCCATGAACAATTCAAGTGTCTCCACAATATCAACTAACTAATACACAACAAAGTAATACCAAAAATAATTTAGAATGCCCGTAAATATACACTCCTGAGTTTTGACTCAAAGTTACATTCAAAAATAAATAGTATAAAATTTCCATTTACGTATTGTTTTGCATCATTTTTACCAAATTTTTAATTACTGAGCCGTTAAAGCTAAAACAACGGTCAACACCACTTTTTTGCAACTTCAGCCCTACTTAAAAGATGCATTTTTTGCCTTTTGGGGCAGTATGTATTTGCGTAATGCATAAAAATATGGACCAAACAATATGCTTTTAAGAGAGGCAACCTACACTTTAATTTTCTAAACCCATGAGATACTGGAAATTTACATATTATGCTGCAATCATTTTCTATTATTTTAACGCTCTAATCATAATAAATTAGAGAAACAAAGCTAGGTGTACAGAATTTTTATAGGTTAATACTTGGCGAATTTCATTCTTCCTTGTCACAAAAAAATAAAAAATAAATAAATAAAGGATCCTAAACAACAATACATTCATTAGAAAATAATTCTAAAAATCCAAAGGAAAAAATACCTTGCGATTACTTAGAAGAATCAGAGCTTCAGTTACATGCACCCTGAGTCCCGATGGCAGGGACAGGGCCGAAGACTTCAAAAATTGTGCCAGCTCTTTTGGGAATTGCGCTAATTGTTTAGGGTAAAATGGAGTGACATGAGCCAAGAACAAGGCTCTATCACCCAAATCCTTTGCCACCGTCGGGTCAGTGGCGATTCCACTCAATGAGGTAAAATTTAAAGCCGCTTGCTGCTCGAAAAGTTCGAGAGATGACTTAAATTGATAGTAAATTAAAACGAGCTCCGACGTATAGCCCTCGGGGTCGGACTTCATCTTGGATTGAAGAATTGGAAGGCTAAGCTTCTCCGATGCACGACCAGAGGCAGACATGAAATCTTGGATCAAGGCCCTGGAAGACGCCATGGATTGTATTTTCGGTGCTTGTAGGTAGGGACAGACCTAGACATTTTGTATCGTGGGGTCAATAATTTGCTCTCTACTCTAACATACGAATTTTTATTAAAATATTTTTCCATGACTTTTAAAAAAAATAATACATAAATAAATAAATACCATATTTCTTTTTTCATCAAAACATAACATTAAATTCATAATAAACAACAATTATCTTCATAAACAATTCTAAATCACCAAGTAAGAGAAAGCCATTACTTGGAATTGAGATTTGACTTTTGAGATTGAAGTCTAATATTTCCATCTCTGCAGTTGCAGCTCTTTTGTCTTGTATTTGTTCTGTTGAATAATATTTTCAGCAATCCACTACAAAAAATGCTAATCCATTGTATCATACAATCCCGTCCAACACTGTCTACCTAAATTGTCCTAAGAGTACCCCAAGTCTTAGGTACGACGTATAGAATACATTGACTCACTGCAAAACTCTGTTGTTTTACAAACCAAGGTTCCTTAAAGCCTACAGTAATAACAGAACATAAGAACTTTATCGTTTAAAATTCCAGGGTGTTCAATGCACCCTGGACAAAGAATAAATATGAGAAAATTATTAAATAGCAGCTCAAGGACTAGAAAAAGCAAAACTATACAAGATCTTGAATCTTATGACATACTAATTTCCCTTAAATCCAACAACTAAGGTGTAAAATATTGACCTCTTCCAATATATTAAGCAAGCTTCAATTTTTCCAAAAAATTTTAATCTCAACTGTTATATATATATTTTTTTCCTCGATAACAAATTAAATCACAAAACCCAGAAATATTATCAGAAATACCCAACAAAGCTATCGAGCAGATATAAAATTAGCAATAATATAATAATTTTCAATTACAATATTTAAAACAAATGAAAACGAAAAAAATTACCTCATTACCACATATATCATCAGTCTTCTTGGAACAATAACGAGATCCCCCTTCTGACACCATATTATATAATTTCTCCCAATGTCTTTGAATACCCTATATGTACATACATATATATGGTGTGTGCGCGTGTGTATTCTCGGTTACAAGATCAAGCCAAAAAAAAATGTAAATTAAATATAAAAAATACTCAAAAATGGAGATCTACCAATTTAAAATTCTCGACCTCGAGAGAAAAAAAAGGAGGGAGACAAATAGCCGCTTAGAATTTCCAGAGCCCCCAAAATATTTATGACCCAGAAAAAATAATACTTGAAATTAGCAAAAAATGGAAAATAAATAAATAAATAATAGTCTACAAAACTTGAAGTTACAAATCAAAAGGGATTGAAGGACGGAAGGTTGTTTACAAGGAAGCCTCTCTCCCTGCATATATCCTCTCTGGTAAACGGGTGGCAGTTTATAAAGATAAAGGAGGCCTTTTCTTGATGTCTTATACCCTACTTTCTATAGAACCGTTTACAGATTGGGAACATTCTTTGCAATGACGAAAATGCCAAAGTTACTGTAATTATATATAGGATGTTTTGGTCATATTTGTTTCTGGGACTATTAAGCCGGATCCTCATGAATATATTAATCGGACTGATACAATTAGGAGTAGGGGTGGCAAATGGGCCGAGCGGTTCGTTCGCTCGATTCGCGAAAACAGAGCTCGTGGACGGTTTGGGCTCGTAAAAATACGAGTCCAAGCGCGAGTCGAGCGGGCCGGTTTGGTGGGTGAGCCGCTCGGCTCGCAAAGTAAACAAGCCGCTCGTTTTTGGCTTGTGGCTCGTTGAAAACGAGCCCACGAGCTCGTGGGCTCATGTAAAAAGTGATCGAAATGGTCACTTTTTTAGTGACCGTAGTGACCTTTGTCAGTGACCGTTTCGGTCCTTGAATTTTATTTTTTTTAATATAAAATTATGATCGTTAACGGTCACTGAATTTTTTTTTCTTTCCTCTTCTTCTTCTGCAAATAGTGGCATTTAGCCACAAAAATTTCTACAATTCATTCTTAATTCTCAATTCTCTTTCTTTCAACTCTCTTGTGTTGTGTTGATAGTTGTGCAATTCTTATATACAATTTATACAATATTCAATTCTCATTTCTCACTATATTTATTGAAATTTCATCCAATTTTCATTTCTCACTACATTTATACAATTATTCTTTTACTAGTTATTATTTATTACAATTAAACAAATGGATTAACGTACATTTGTCGAAAACCTGTTCGGTGTGGAAGGAAACAAATCGCCTATGACACCGCAAAATCAATTTCGGAATCAATTTGAAGGTCTAAATGACGTACCCTTACGTGAAGATATTCCAGATTTTGATCTTCATCATCATGTAAGCGACAATCCAAATTATCCAATTAATTTGGATGATATTGACGTTCCCGAAACGGAACACGATCAGGAAGAAGAGGTTGAATTAAACATTCCTGATGCGAGGGGAAAGCAAAAGGGAAAAAAAACAAGCAAAATGTTGGGATCATTTTAAGTTGATTTCAACGGGAAAAATCATTAATGGAGTCTCAGAATAGAAAGCAGTATGTAAATACTGCCAACAGAGATTGGCATGACAAAGAGAAATTGGTACCACACATCTCAACCGCCATTAAAAAGTATGTGCGGTCAAACACGGACTTATTCCAAGCTGTCAAACACAATTGCAATTTGGCAGTCCAGATGTCGTTGGTTCTGCTGCACCCCTATCCACATGGGTGTATTCGGAGGAGAGAGCTCGAACCGGAATGTTAAAGCTTGATGCTAGTGCTGAATTGCCTTTGACATTAATTGACAACCAACACTACATCTCGTATGTGAAAGAATATTTGCAGTCAAGGTACGTTCGGGTAAGTCGAAACACTCTTCGTTCCGATACAATACAATATTTTACTGAAACAAAACGACAATTAATTATGGATTTGCAAAAATATGGGGATGTCATATCTTTAACTTCGAATATATGAAAAGAGATTAATAAAAGAGCATATATAACTGCAACTGCACATTATATAGACTCACTTTGGTGCATGCATAAAAAAATTTTGCTTTTAGAATTATTAAGTTTCCTCACAATGCTAATAATATATTTAATGCTATTGTTAGTATTGTTAGAGAATATCATTGCAAAAGTAAAATTCATTCATTTACTTTCGATAATACTAATGTTAATAAAGTAGTTGCCGATAAATTGCATAGGGTACTGCAACCTGATTTTGGTGGGTATTTGTTTCATATTCATTGTGTATACCATATTTTGAATTTAATTGTTCAAAATGGTTTAAAATATATAAAGGATGAACTTCAAAATATTAGGAACGCACTAATATATATCACAATCTCCCCAAATAGAAAATAAGCATTTGAGGATTATTGTGCCAAATAGGAGTACAAAATATTAAAACATTTGTTAGCGACGTAGGTTATAGGTGGAACTCTACTTCCTTGTTATTAAAGTCATGTGAATGTTTTGAACATTTAATAACTGACTTTTATAACAATAGACATGTTAGAAGTGATAACGAGGGTATATTGACTGAACGTGATTGGCAAATAGCTTTGAAAATTAAAAGATTTTTGACATCTTTTTATGAAACCACTATGATTTTATTGGGCATTTACTATCACACCAACTGTATGGTGCTTGAACGTCTTTATATAATTGCAAGAACATTTTCCCTGATTTTAGTGAAATTATAATTGCTATGGAATTAAAATTTAGAAAAATATTGGGAAGACTTGTCTATATTATTTCTTTTAGCATGCGTGATGGACCCCCGATATAATTTATCGGGAACTAAATATATAATTGATCAAATTTCAAACGCCTTAACATTTGATACACCTATCACATATAGAAATTTAGAGCAAACATTATGTGAAATGTATGAATTATATGCGAATCGAATGGGTACCAATATTAGTCGGATACCATCTACACCTACTCCTTCCGCTGATATTGAAGAAGAACATGCGAAATATTTGATTTATTTCAAGGCATTAATTCGTATAGATATAATTTATCTGCAATGTGTTCATTTACTGCCACTGTCATGCCATCACCATCTGTATCACATTCTCATCAAACATCTACGGACTCAAGCCATAATGCATTGTCTGCTGAATTAATTGATTATTTCAACCAGAATATGTCAACAGATAAAACAATTAAAAAAAGTTTAGATGAAGTAATTGAATTCTGGCGAAGGTATGAACAACGTTGGCCAGTTATATTTGCGATTGCAAAAGATCCGCTAACGCCTCTAATTAACACTGTTGCTTCAGAGTTCGCTTTTAGTGCAGGTAAGAGAGTTTTGAGCGAGGTCAAGAGCCGACTAAAAGAAGATATTTTAGAAGCGTTAATGTGCGTTAAGGATTGACAGGATGCTCATTTTCAACTACAAGATAAATGTGTCGAAATTGCATGTCGTCAAGTAAGTGATATTTGATTTAATTATATTGATGAAACTTTTCTTTTCTTATCGTTACTTTTAATTTTCTTTAAAAAATTGTACACGCTACAAAAAATTGTTTGTGTACAATTTTTAACTCTGCCCACTGAAAATTTAAGTAGTCGATCACAAGCCTGGATAAAGTAGGAGGGTTTATATTTTATCTATTTTAAAAAGAAAAATAAAAAAATAAAAAATAAAGAATTCATTTTTATTTTTATTTTTATCTCTTTTAGTTAAAAAAAAGGAAAAAAAATTCTTTCCACCAATTTAGTTAAATTTTTGTTAGTACTTAGTACTATTATTACTATATGTCTACATTTTAAATTCTTTGCTCGAACAACACCGTGCGTACCTTTACATATAATTTTCGAAATAAATTCCTTCTGAAAATTGAAATGGTAATCGAATGATTGCTCTTTCAATTGTCAGAAGTCTTTCACTTCGAAGATTATATATAATCTTCGAAGTGAAAGACTTTTATATAATTTTCGAAGTGAAGATTTCTGACAATTGAAAGGACATTCGATTACCCTTTCAATTTTTAGAAGGGCATTACTTCGAAAATTATATGTACGGGGACGCGCAGCGTTGTTTGAAAAAATAATTTTTAATACTGTTTAAAATTTTCTTTAAAAAATTATACACGAACAAACAAACAAACAGCACAATTTTTAACTCCGCCTACTCTAAATTTGCATAGCCGGTCCCAAACCTTGATAAAGTAGGAGGGTTTAAATTTTTTACCTAGTTTTTTTATATATAAAGATTTTTTATATAAAAAATTCACGATTTAAAAATTAAATTTACTTTTTTTATTTTCCAATTTACCTATTTGTTTCAAAAAAAAAAAAACGACCTCTGCTCGCGAGCCGAGCTCGCCTATTTTTTGACGAGCCGAGTCGTTTCAAAACGAGCATCATGGGCCGAGCCGAGCTAACACCTCTAATTTGGAGCTGTAGTAACGGGTACTTTTCAAATTGGCTGAGTCAAAGATCAAGTTTTGCACTTTAACCAATTTTATTTTTTATTCACCACATTGGCCTCTTGTGTTAAAAAAAGACAATTGTGCCCTTATTGTGTTCCATAATTACAAAAATATGTTAATTCTTTGAAAGACAATAATATCCTTAAAAGTTTAAATAAATTCAATCACTTCCCCATGTAAATTTCAAAATCAATTTTGCTTATCAGTTTCTTCAATACAGCTAAAAAGAAATTTCATTTTCCATGTGCTAGAACATTGAAATCTTACAAAATTATCAAAAGTTCAACAAAAAAACATTACTCACAGTTGGGACACAAAATTGGTAAGTGTAAATACGTATTTTTAATTTCGTTTTAGTTAATCTAGTATATTGTTTGAATCTTTAAGTCTTATTTCGACAAAAACAGATGAATTATTACAGTATTAAACATAGATGTATTATTTTGTTAGCAAAAACGAAGAAAAAATTCATCTGTATGCATATTATTTCAAGAAAAATTCATAGTTATCTGTAAAATAAATAGAACATTATTTCGTTGAAAAAAAAATTCCAGCCAGCCCAGATGTACGGGCCGACCATTTCCAGCCAACCCAAAAATCTAGGCCGACTAGAAATAGCCGGATGTTTCCATCCGGCCCTCCAGTCTGCCCGGACATACTGGGTCAGCTGTTTCGCCTCCCCTTTTTTTTATTTTGTTATTTTTTTTAATGTTTAAGATTTTATAATTTATTTGTTCATATTTAATATATATTGTTTATTGAAATAAATATTAATGAATATTTAATACTAATTGAAATAAATATTTTTGAAACAATTAAAATAATCAATGAATTATTATAAGTATAAAATTAAATTAAATATGAAATGAATAATTTAAAAAATTATATATTAATTCATTATATTTAATCTATTATCTTATATTTTTAATTTGTGGCAGATATGACATTAACATGTGTCCCAATTTGTTATTTTGGTGAATTTTAAAAGAATGAAAATACTCAGTGGGAATGAAAATGGATGAGTAAAGGAGATGGGGTTAAAACAATT